TATCGCGAAATTATAATCCGCTTTGATGTGTGACTCGCCGCAGCGGCATTTGCGTGCAGCTTCAATGAGAATCTCTTGCATTTCTCAATTTTCAAGAGAAAAAAATAAAGAAAGATATGGAGTAGACCGTCGTCTGTAATTGTTACAACGTCCTTTTTTTCTCTACGAACTTTGCGCGTATTGCTCCTTTCTTGCTCTCTCTCTCTCTCTCTCTCTCTCTCTCTCTCTCTCTCTTTCTCTCTCCCTCGATTATCATATTATGAGATCAATCCACGTATACGATTATCGCGAACATGTTGCAATTCGTTATCGTCTACTACATTGATCAATGTTTGTTATTTTCTTTCACTTTCTTTTGTCATCATAAAATAAACAGTACAAAAAAAAACGATGAAAATTGATAAAACAAAAAAATAGTTAAAGATACAACAGGATGAAATAAGAGCTTAAAAGACTGGCATGTTATTAAAAAATAAACTAGATAATAGATAGCTTTAAATAAATAATGCAAAAATGAAAGGTAAATGAAAAAGTTGCGAGACAGAAATTTAAAAAAAAAAGAGGAAAAAGGAAAAAGTTAGAAAGAACAGAAGAACATGTAGGTCCTTTCGGATTGTGTTAAATAAGTAAATTCTGAAGTAAAATCTAGTTTCTTTTTACGTAACTGAATGTATTATAAAAACATTGTTATTAGTTTTATATAAAATTCGAAAAGTTATAACATAGCTCTCGATGTGCCGATGCGATCTTCGGCGATGATATTTTTGAGAACATCGCGACTATCCTAAAACGCATAAAGTAGATATTACAGTGATTTAACGAACATTTATTCATTGGTAGTTCCGTGATGGACTGGAAAGATATATGCATCGAAATCTAAATCTAATGTTCGCTCAATACGAAATAAAAAATTACGTAAACTCATTATGAATGTCAAAAATCATGATACTTATAAACTAAACGCGCGAAGAATCTAGTTTTTCACATTTGGATATATAAGGCGATTAAATATTATAAAAGCTCTGCGAATAATACATTGTTAATCTTGTATGTTAACACATTAGATGATAATTTAGATAATATGTTATTAAAATTCAGATGATCACAACTTCTTGCATATCTCTTTGGTTTCAACTGTATTGGGCTCTCGCGTAATGAGTCTAATTCTATAAGAAATGATACAATTTAATAATTTTGATCTCTGATGATTTTATGTGACGGTATATGCATCCTTGAGAAATATAAAAAAAATTGAAGAGTTCACTAAATTTATCGATTGCAAACAAGTTCGTATAAGAGATAAATAAACAGAAATGAAAGAGAGAGGTAGCTAAAGAGAAAGAGTACCGGAATAGAGCTTAAAATGAAATACTTTAAAGAAACAAAGAGAGAGAGAGAGAGAGAGAGAGAGAGAGAGAGAGAGAGAGAGAGAGAGAAAGAAAGTGAAACTGAAAATACTGTCATTAGCATGACGAACAGCGATTTTTGTCGCAAAATCACATTCTTTCTTTGTTATTATTCGTAAACATCGGCAAGATACGTTACAAAGCGAAGAGAGAAAAAGTTCGATCGCCGAAAAATTATTGGTTCTACCGATTCGACTATTCCATTCCGGCGAGATGAACTGTAAGCGACGCAAAAATGTTTCTTTTTTTCTATTTTAAACTCTTGGTGTGATATGTGGAGACTACGCTTAAAGAAAAAAAGGAAACGCGTCGCTCTGTTGGTCGATAGGTCTCGCTGTTTACTATCCATTTGGTTCCGTATCATTCGGACGATCCATGCGTGTCTCTACGTGCGTATATGCGTTTACGCTTATGTGCATGGAATCGTACTTTGGAATTCGACTTTGTTCCACCGGAATAAATTCGCCACCGGAGTGAGAAATGTAATTCGGCATCACTTAGACTAGATAAGTCGACCAAGAATTGAAACTGGTATAATCTCAATAAATCCACATGCAGAGATAAGACTTATCTCCATGTTTACTCGCAGTTATTAAATATAGAAGTTTGTATTATAAAAATTTCTATAAAATTTTAATAAATTTTAAACAACGTATTTATAGGATCACAATAGAATTCTAATATTTCGTAGAAAAAAATTTGATTCTGTATTACGCATATTAAATAAAAATTTTAAGCATGTACATATACATATATAGGGTGATCCATTTAAATCGATCATCTGAAATATCTCGCTTATTTTTTAAAAAAATGTGTATGCAAAATGGATAATTTTTTAAATAAGCAACTATGTGTTTTCTTTCCACCAACTGATTCATCTCATTATGTTCGTAAAAGTATTAAAGTACGATTATCAAAAAATTAATAGTTTACGAATTATTTAATATTTTATGTCAATATGTGCCAGAATAAAATGAGAATTCATTTGAAACTTTTTTTTATATCATCAAAAATAAGAGAGATATTTCAGATGGTCGATTTAAGTGGACCACCCTGTATATACACACATATCTGTACATATGTACAATTTTATATAAGTATGGAATAAATCCAAATATATATATTAAATATACTCTATATTATTATATTATATATACAGTATATTTATATATATATGAAGTTATATTATTAAACATATATGACAAATAAAATTTTTTTTGTAATCCTCAGAACTCAAATAATCATAATTTACTGAAATTGCACCAATTTCAATTTTCTCGCAGGATCTTTTACTCACTGTGTGTGTGTACCATTTATAGTCGATCGTTTGCTGAATCGAGATCAAAGGATCGTTCACGGAGAACACGTTCACATTCCAAAGTACTGATTATCACGTCCTTGAACGCGCACGTAAATAAATCGATTATCTGAGGCGCGCCCGCGCATACGTACACACACGTGCACAATTATATAATAAAGAGACACCCTAATTACAAACGCTACAGGTAGAATCATCAAACTTCCAATTACGTGCGCACTTCATACGCACTTGCCACGTGCACCACTCTCTCCCTCTCGCTCTCCCTCCCTTTCTTTCGTCGAGTTAATCGTAAATATGCGTATATATGTATCTATATATATATACATATATATATATATATATTCGTTTTTTTATGTGTATGTGTATACATATATATAGATATATGCGATCACAGAACACGTATATTTCGCGTGTAATAGTTTGTGCCACGTTCTTTTCGTGTGTATCATGTGTTGTACGTGTATATATATGTATAGGTGTGTATGTTGCGTGTTTGTATATATCTTAACAATCTATTATAAGAATTTGATTTGTTTAAACAGCCTCGCCTCGATCCTCTTCGTACACAACACTTTGACATCGAACAAACGGCGTCCCCGCACGATTGCAATCAATAATCGCCGAGGAAGGGACAGGGCTCCTTCATCAGCTGTGCATCGCGATTCTTATCGCTTTTTATCAAACTTTTCTCTCTCTCTCTCTCTCTCTCTCTCTCTCTCTCTCTCTCTCTCTCTCTCTCTCTCTCTCTCTCTCTCTCTCTCTCTCTCTCTCTCTTTCTCTCTCTCACTCTGTTTCTTTTCTTTCCTTTCTATATAACGTTTCATTAGAACGCTACGCCGAAGGCATCAAAATTCGTTGATAAGCGCCCTCGCGCGCGCACGTAATATCGGGCGTCGAGAAATTGGTGTTCACATGGAATCGATCAGTTCTTTCAATGGCGCACGCAAAATTCGGATAAAATCCTAAACCACCAAACTTTCTCGAAACTGATACTTCTTTCCTGCTTCTTCAAACGTAAGCCATCAGCACAAGAATCTGGATACAATAATCTTTTTTTCTTTCGAAACACCAAACGAATTTTCTTCTTGCATAAAGCTCGACGCGAACGTGGCTTTCCATCGCTAATCTCAAGGTGGAAAAGCAGCTAAGTTTAGATGGTGCATGGGTTAAAGCGAATTTGCAACGCTCTTCGCGTTCGGCTAAACAACAGCGGCGCATCATCCCTCGGTAAATAAACACAGCCAATAGGCATTTCTTCTCTCCGTGGTCGCGTGCTCGTAACATAATCTGCACGCCCATGCACGCGACTACGGATCGTCCTACAGTCTAAGGTTTGCTCGACACATGCGTATGATGAATGGTAAGTAGGTACAATTTTATGTTAGCTCTTTCACGGGTTTTTTTTTACGGTATCGTCAAAATGAAACAAAGATAAAACGCATTACATACACACATGTATGTGTGTATATATATATAACAATTCGACGTTCCGATAACTCGAGGTGTACGCCACAAGCATGAGAACTCGCAGAAGTCGAATCAAATCGGATCCGAGGCAAAGGATAAAATCACGACGGAATTAGAGTTAATAGATTTTCTTAATTTAGTCTTAAGATTAATTTTCCATTTCTCAATAAGCCATCCGACACAAAAAGAAGAAACGAAATATCTGCGCGGAATTTTTTCTTTTGCTTGATATATGAATGCGTGTTGCGGTGATACGTTTTCTTTAATAAATCACGCATAAGATCGCAATTGCAAACACAATAAGAATGTGTGTGTGTGTGTGTGTGTGTATGTGTGTGTGTGTGTGTGTGTAAGTGTCAAGTTAAAAGCGCGACTTGAAAGCTTCTAAGGCGAGAGCAAACTTTTTTTTTTAACAGATCTGAAACGTAAACGAAACGCACAAATAACAGTCTGCTATAATGTCGAACGTAGAAAAATACGAGTGTCTATGTACAAAACAAATTATAAATCTTTCCTCTCCTTGTCATGTCTTCCTGTCTGTTCGCACAATTTCTTCCTCCGTTTTTATGATCTCTTCACAATCTTCTTTCAAACAAGTGTGAAGAAACACTCCATTCGCCATCAACTCTACTTTATTACGCGAATAGACGAAACGTGCAATCGACAATGTTCGTGAGCTGCATGAGAAACAAAGACGCGTTGGTCTCGTTGAAGCGCCATCGGAAAAATTGCGCCGAGAGCACAGCTGAATGGTCAAATATTATGATCTCCTTCTGTTTTCCCCACAATTAGCATTTTTCTTTTCTTCCTTTTGCTCTTCCACTATCGCCTTTTTCAGCACTCGCTGAAGAATCGCGATTGCTCGCTATCGCCGCAATTCACGAGTCGACGTTGAAACGGCCTCATGATAGCGCATGCATATGTGTGTGATGTTCTGTATAAGACTCGATGATATCGCGCTTGTCTGCTCCTTCTATGCCGCGCACAGGAAGTCTGCGAATTTACGGCATAGAGCATGGCGCGAGAAAACAAATCGACAAACTGCAGACTGATAGACAGCGGACAAACGAGGGAGCGACGCGGAACTTCGCTTTAGGTCATATACCGCATCACGGCACGAAGGGCATACAGCAGTTCTGCTTGCATGCGAGCCTCTAGAATCATCAGGTTCACGTGGACCTGAAAAACAAAAAAGGAAAAGACGATATTTAACAACGTTCAATAATCTTGTTTCCTCGCCTTCTGCTTATATGAGAATAAATTTTTATATTTCTTGTTCCATCATGATAAAAGTCTTATCATAGATGTTAAATAACTAATTTCAAATGCATAACGCATTTCATGCGAACTAATCTTAACTTTCTATCACGAGACAGCAGTTATTCGCAACCAAATAATCGGAATAATATCAAGTATTTTATATTTAACACGGTCAACTTTTAAATTTATCTACATAAATTATTGCTTATTTAAATTTCTATAAGATTCGTTTGAAATAGGAAATGCAACCTTATGTACTACCCGTATAATCATATATTTTAATTTAAAAAATCAAAGAAGCTAAGTGGTTTGATTAAAGTAATTTATTTTTAAAAGAATTATATTATTTATTTTTAAAAAATTATAAAGCATATATGTTCTTGTTTGTTTTTCAATTAAATTATTTTAGGCAAGTTAGATCACATATTTGAAAGATAATTCTACTTACCTTTTCACTGTGTTTGAATTCTCTCATGACGCGATCATAATCCCTCTTTGTAACGCGCTCCGGATAGCAAACGGCGCTCTTGATGAAGGTTTTGAGGCTACGCTCGAGCAATTGATTCACCTCATTGTAATCGTAATCGTCATGCCTGATGCCGAACATACACTGTATGTAGTTCCAGATCGCCCGTCTAAAGCGCGACGTATCGACCTTGTTATGCGTGCCCATGGTATAGTATGTCAAATTGTATGCGGTCTTGAATTTGTCGTCGAGAAGATTACCGACATCATTGTACAGACGATTCACCAAGGAATAACCGTGATCATCCCAGGAATAGTCCTGGACGCGGAAGGTCGGTATGTCGTTCAACTGACCGCGCTAGAAAGATGAAAAACATCGAGTCAATAAAAAAAGAAAGCACCAAGAGATAAGAAAAGTTGTATTAAAATGTTTCGCGAAAGATGTATAGAGTCAAGTTAGGGAATGAAAGAATACTATCCTACGGGTAGCAACCGACGAAGCGACTTTTTTTATTATCATTAACGCCTGGCGTAAGCGTTGTGCCCCGCCTTCGTAGCCTATCTTAAGTCAGCCAATACACAACGTAGTCGCGCGGTAAATATTCATAGTTACGCGAGCGGAGCCGTAAGCCGTACGCGCGGAGTACAGTCAGCTTAAATATTCATGGATGCTACACGCTACCTTGGAATATCGTCTTTCGGTTCTAATCCATTACACACTACCTAACTTAGGCGTACAAAAACAGCGGACGCGCGCGAGGAATCATCGCCATGTTGTTGAATAACATGAGGGTCGCACTGACGTTATCAATATAAATGGATAAACTCAATTAAGATACGTAATATCTATGGATTAACTGTTTCGCCGTTTCTAACACGGTAAAACTGACACCGAAGAAGCTCACCTTGGCGAAATCCTGATAGATGAAAGTGGGATCCTCGATGAATAGACCGATATCGGAGTCGAGGACCGAGCTGCTCCTTTGCGGCGCTGCTGCCAGCTCGGCCGATTGCGTCTCAACAGTCTCGAATCTCTTGGAAAGCTCCTCCTGCGTGATCTGATAGGACTCGGATTTTTCCGAGAGACGCTTCATACGTTCCATCAGAGTCTCCACTCCGACTTCCTGCTCGCCAACTATGCTCGGTGACGACGGCGGCGACGGTAAATTTTCTAGATCGTGACAATTTCAATTTGTAAAGTTATATAAATTTTTTGTCAACGTTATAGATATACGGAAAAGCGAACTTACACATAAAAAGGACGGTTTTGCTAAAATATCTAAAAATTTAGCTACACACAGATCTGAAAATAATTATATAAGACTCAAACTAGTTTTTAGAATATCAAAATCTTTTACAGAATTGCATAATCATTCAGGCATCATCGAGCTATCTAACTGATTGAGTCTCAAAAAAAAGAATTGACTACCTCACAGAGAAACATTATTGACACAAATACACGATGAACATTGTACACTGAATGCATCTATTTCATATTTTGTCGAAGTAGTATGTATTGAAAACGGCTAAAAAATTAGCCAAAACATGTTTGCGAGCGATTATTAAAATTTTATAACTATTTGTTCTAATTAAAAGTCAGATACTCGACTAAAGATTAGCATTGATATTTATCGTGCTTTCTACAGCGCTAATTCCCAAAACCATTAAGTTTGTTACTAGATTAATTTATTACAGAATTGTTCATCATTCTCAAGTTTCTTACGTTATTATTATTTTCATCAGCCAAAATTATTTTCAGATCTGTATCTAGAAAATTTTGGACACTTCAGCAAAATCATTCTTTCCATATAAAAATGGATAATTTTACACAATTCATAATTATCGTTAGACAAATGATATTCCATTTTGCTAGCAAAGAGTTATAATAAATATTACGTACCAGTCTTGCCATCTCCGTTGGGGATCTTTTTAGGGCTCATGAGCTTATCTTTGGCAGGTGGTATCTTACTACTATTGTCCTGGATGTTCTCCTTATAGTGATGACCAGTTACGTTATCCAATTCTTCATTAATTCCACAAGAAAATACGAAAGAGGATAACGAGTGGAAGTGGGCTAATAGAACTATCGCATGGACAACCTCCGCTAAGGACCAATTATCATCGCCCTTAGTCAATTTCTGAAAATACAAACATTTGTATTGCATCACCGATCTCGAAACATCATGTGAATTCTATGCATGAATTCGAAATTCTACGCGCTTACCTCTATGTGCGATTTATTCAGGAGCCACGGTCTATGAGCTAGGATCTTGTTGATCTCATAGAGATCTTGCAGCTTCCCCGGAATCGATCTAAGGCCTTGGAGCCATGAGGGGTCACCGCCCTGAAGAAGGAACTCTCCCTTCTGCAGGTTTATAAGGTAGCTACATTGGTGCCTACCCGCAGCCTGAAATTACATTAAGATAGATCTCCAAACCTGTTCTCGTCAATTTATCTCTCTCTCGCATCATCCGCGACGCTTAATGCCACCCTCAGACAACGTTTCTAACATAATCGTCTCTTCTACACTGAGAGATTATTATCTACTAAATCGTACATCATTAAAAGGGATCATACAAATTTTTCGATGGTTATCCGAAAGGAGCTGTAATTCTGACAAAGGAGAATCTGAAGTGAAAACGCGTTTTTAAAATATTACAAATCCTTCTTTTGTCATATTAAGAATGAAAAGCCTCAAACATCCTTTAGTCGATTCAAAAATTAACAATCAATATAAAAATTTTTAAGTCATCAGATTAATCACTTGACAGGATAGAATTGAAAAGAAGAAAAGAGAAAAATAGTTAAGTGTTATACAATATACCCATCGACTTTTTTCCAAATACATATGATATAAATGCTAAGTTCAAATTAATGTATTTTCATCACCAACTGTATGTAACTGTACTGCTTACGCATCAGAAAAAGAATTAATTGATCCTGGGAAACATTGTAGTTAATACTTGACTTCATCTTTTTTACTTTTCCTGAAATCTATTATTCCTGTCAAGTAATTAATTGATTTGATGACTCAAAAATTCTTACATTCTTGTTAATGTATAAAAAAATTTTTTTCTACATTCTTTAGAGTGGAATCTCAATCTAAAGAGTAAACTTTCACTCTTAAAGATTGAAAATTTTGTTACTCTTTTTCTCAAGAGTGACAGAATTTTTATTAGAATCAGATTCCAAAGAATTTAGAGAGAGTAAGAGATCTGAAGCTAAGATTCTTAATATGAACACAAAGGACTATCATTAGCAACAAATCGTATTTTAAGAGCACGTTTCTACTTCTAGTCCTCTCATTGTGAGCAACTGACTAGTCGATTGAAAACACAATTTAAATACATATTAAAGAGACGAGATCCATATGCGCGATAAAAATATTTCAAACGAGCGTTTCAGATGTATTAAATGCTCCGCACTACATAATAAATCAACTAATTTATGGCCGTTAAGCTTCGACGGTGCAGGCCTTGTAATCTCGATTATCACGCTTACCTCAGGCCCGTACATCACAATAAGCAGATACACAGGTCTGCAGAATTAGCTCGCAGATAATGTCCATCGATAAGATACTACCCGTAGGGTAAATAAGGGTCGAATAAAAACGACAAGCGCGCGGAGTCGACTGAAAGCAATTTTGCCCCGCGAGAAATTTCTATTCGCGTATTGAGTGCCGGATGGCATTGCCGTGCATTATTGCCGTCGATGCCGTCGTGTATTTGAGCACATGTATACGTGCGATATCGTGCATCGCGCACGATAAACGGTGGGTTTCCCGTCCCACGAAATTTTCGAGGACGAGCACCGGAGTTATTGGCTCGATTTCGTGGGGAGGCCGTAGCGGCTTGCCGTATGCATTTTTCAATAACAAATTTCGACTGGCGATAGGCGAATTGACAACGACGTGATGATGCATCGGAGCGTAAAATTGCACGAGGTCGCGGCCGCCAATATCGCGCGTTATCACGCTCACAATCATTTCCAGCACGTGACGAACAGCAACATCCGTTTCAAGGATATATGCACTATGCTCAATCCTGCATCCCCCAACGATGAATAATCCCGTGACCTTTCATAGGTTTTTCACGTTATCGATTTTATAAATTAATACCGAAGAGATTTTAACCAGAGAATTTGTTCGCAAGCGTAGTTAAGGCAATAATGAAACCATCGATATCAATGTTAAAATAAAATGCGTTGAAAGTATCATTAAAGATACACAGAAGAGTCACGAGCTCAACATTGGGCGTTTATCATTTTAAGTACGCTAATAGTCTCGTTACGATGTATTGCAATAGACGTTAACAGTGGAAAATTTAACTTAATGATGCGGTTAGTCAGTTATTCCGTTAAAAAAGGAAGTATTTTTTTGAAAATTTAATATGGGTTTTACGTAGTAAAAAAACGCTATTATTTGACGCGCTATTATTTAAATTATCTGACGTGAACTCGACGACGATCTATTTATTCCCGCGTGACTAACTTTGCAAAGCCCCGCGGGCATGAAACGCGTCAGTTTAGCACCCCTGACTCGTCATTTCGCCAACCAGGGAATCTCGCGTGGGCGTCGGATGCAGCACGATCCTGACAGAGTCGACAGAGTCGATCGATCATCGTGACAGGACATGGTAATACCATGGCTAAAGGGGCGATTGAAGGAGAGAAACGATGGTGAAAGAGAGAGGAGAATGAGAGAACGGGTTGCGACGAGGTACGCAAACAAGACTTGTGTTTACTGCGAGAACGGTAAATCGATCGATGCGAGAGTCACGATAAGAACAGAGTTCGCTAAATACATTTTTGCCTCCCTCCAGAATTCAGCCCAGGGATCTCCCCGGGAAGTATCTTGGCGTGCTTTCCTTATTAGTAATCAATCATTAAGACTAACGCCAAATTCATCAATTACGGAAATTTGCATTACTTATCATTTCACGCAACGATCCACGAATCATTAATTATCGTGCTTTGCGCGGAGAAATTTACCGGCGGATGATACCAATCTCCATTTTTCACTCGATTATCACGCGGGGATTGGGAAGATGATAAAACACTGAAAGTAAAGGCATTATCGCGGCGACGAGAATAACAATATGTGCGAACGATGATTGGCAGAAAACGCGCGTTTATAACGTTTCAGACAGTCCGATATTGCCATATCGATGTTTCAGTATTATTTGTACAATAATTATAAATAGAATCGAGATACTTTTGCGAAAAACATTTATATTATTTCTTTCCCGAGAAATAATATACTGTTATCATAAGGTTTACGTTCCATCGTAAATTTATATTGATGCCATTCGCTCCTGATAATAACTGTAATAAGTTAATGTTTTTCTGTGCTATGCATACCGTCTTTAAAATAAATGGACGACTATTAAGCTCATTAAAATGACTGATATAATCAATCTAAAATTATTGATATAATATGGTAATCATGTTTACGTACGTTGATAAGCAACAATATTATACCTGCATTAATTTAGAAGACATTTAAACGCAAAACCGAGACGATGTGATTCACGATAACAATGATATTTATCTTCAAAGACTCTTCAGTGTATTTCCTTTAATAATTTATTCCACGAACTGCCCGATAGCTAAATGATTAATAAAATACAACTATATAATAATACTAAAGAACAAATCAATACGGAATCAACTGTCTTTCATGATTATTTCTATTTTTAAATGAAAAATATTGAGATGAATTTTTTAAACAGCTATCCTCTATATAATGTTATTAATTTCCAGTGCAATTTTTTATAAATAATCCAAAATGATCGCAAATTACATTTCGAAGAAATGAGCACAATGTTTACTAGAAAAGCTGTTTTTCAGATACCTTATCATTTTATCATATCCGCGTGTACCGTCTAACAATTTACTTCGTCCTTGTCCGCACATCACTCCGTTTTATCGAGATAAAATATTTCTCGATCGATACACTACGATGATAGTTTGTCTATCACATCAGTCTACTGACGTACTTCTCGAGATATCAAATTAAGATTACTAAAGTTCAAGTCCCGAGAATACGTGAGAAAAGCGCGAAAGGTGCGACAGTTAAATCTAAATCGATTAATAAATTTAGATCAGTCGAATATATCACGACATTATTATTAAGTAAATATTTAATTATAACGTAAAGTTCTCGATTCGAGTTTTGAGGAAGTAATAAAGAAAATCTCTGTCTAATATGTGAATTGTTCAAATTATCAGTTGAGTATAGAATCAAGCCCGCAATGGCTCACAATGACATCCGATCACGACTGTATATCATTCAAAGGCGGAAGCTGTAACCTCGATATTGTATCCTGCAGAGATAGCAATTTTACAGTCTACAGTATGGAATTTTGTAATAAACAAAGTCGGCTGCGGCCGCAAATGCTCGTCAAACAGCCGTTAACTCGACAATTTAGAGCAAACCAGTTTGCGGAATCTGCATACCTGCTCTCGCGCTTACATCGCATATCTAACAACACTGTAGTTTCTCTGATCTTATACTTTGTATATGCATTTACGGAAATATATATTCAATCGCCAACTGTGCATTAGCTAATACGAGGTAGCCTACAGAGAAGAAGTAAGATCTTAACTTGAGATACGAGTTTCTTTGACAAGCTGTTTTAATTTTGCAAGAAATAAAAATGCGAGTTAAAAAAATGGCAAGATATATATATATATATATAATAAACTCGCTTTAAATTCAATTGAAGGCTGATTGTAAAAAACAAACAGGTTTCTCGGGAATATCGCGGAAAAAATACTCCAATACTTGCTGAAAATATTTCTAAGTTGTAAAATATCCGATATTTCGGAGACCGATAAACATTTGGAGATGGCATAAAATATTTAACGACTTTAGAGAGCGATAAAAAAATCTTGCGATCTCAAAGATGCATGTTATTGTCATAATTCAGCATATTACGAATTCGTTCTTACGATGCAAAGTAAAACCGACAAATCAATTTTATTTTTCCATTTGTTCGCGTTATCTAGACAAGCCTGTTTCTCGCACGAATCTGTATTCTGAGCAGTAAATGATAAATGACTTATTTATTTAAAAATATGAAATATCTTGTCAAATTCTTATACGCGAACCTTCAATTCGACATTCTCCTGAGTTATTTATAGTCCATAAAATACTTCTACGCAATATAAACAAGCTTTTCATTATAAAAATTTAATCATTAATAGAAAAATGAGAAACCTAATTCAAAAATAGAACATTTATCTTACTGTACGTTTTTTTTATGTTTTAATTATGACATAACGCGATTACAATTGAAAGTATGTTTTCAAGATGATTCTTACGCGTGTATTTCTGCATGTTCGAAAGATAAGATTATATAATTTCATACAACAAATGGCATATTTTCATACTGCACAAATAGCTAAAAGTAATGCAAACGAATGCGTAGATCACCGAGTAAAGATCATAAAAGAACAGTCAATGTTATTTTTCACATCTTCACCAATTGCTTTTCACGAGAACATGTGCGGCATTACGAAACACACACGCGCTGCATTTACTCAGTTTGAGATAATCTTTGACCCGGTGACCCGCTGTCATTCGTCGAGGGTGATCAGGGAACTTAAGAGAAAAAAATAAAGACGCATCATCAACGCGAAGAAGAGCTCATGAGTAACAATTCTCTTACGCGCTATTGAATATATAAATTATATTCCATAAAACTAAGCATTTAATAAAAAAAAATTTCCAAGAGCTTTTAAAAAAAGAAACTTATTTCATCTCAAATCTTGCAAATTAATGAACTAAAGTTTGAACAAGTTAAAATTCTAAAGTTAAACGTCAGTATACATCTTTCAATCGCTCCAGTTATCTGCCATTGTCGGTTTAATTAAATGCATGTAAAAAAGCGCAATAAAAGTCGCAGGAATATATTTAACTGTAAGTTGTAAGTGAAACATGTGAGTCCCGGTGACCCTGGGATATTTTTCTAATTTTTAAATAGTGCAACGATTTGAAATAATAATTTTATGTTTCACAATCTTATATTTGTCGCAGTTTTATTTTATTCACAAGGGTAATTATTATATTTATATGAAGTTCAAGTGTTGTAATTTTTTTGCATGGTGGAAAATTTTTAAATATCTTCTAAAACCAATAATATAAAACTTTAGTGCGTCTTAAAGACCCATATACTCTTTTCTTGTGAACAATCAATTGATGAAGAATAAAAAAATTTATCTCAAGATTTACTATTACAAAATTTTTATAGAAAACAAGAAAGAAAACAAATTTACCATAATGGCAATGAGATGTCTGTAGTCATAAGGAAGTGGACCGTCACCCCGAAGAACGAATTGCTGGGTCCGAAGGAAATGTTCCAAATAGGATGGGTGCGAGGACATTACCCTCGAAACATGATCGAGCCTGTTGTTCTGTAGAAATGCATCCATCAACAGGACATGCGTCTGTAACAATCAAAATACATTGCTGTAAACAAAAAGTGTCACGCAAACATAGTAGATTAGAGGTGCACAGTAGATTAGATACGATAGCAATCAAGCAAAAGATTTCAAAATATTTAACATCAAAAATTTAAGAAAAAATTACTAGAAAATGAAGTTAATTAAAAATAATGTCGTTACACATACTCCAGATATGATAATCTGAGACTTGCTTGCTGCACTTGACACGTTATCAACATTGGATTGTTATCAATTATTGCTATAATTGGAGATTACTGAGGATGGCTTGAATATAGTCGAAACGCTCAGTTTTGTATATTATGTAATAGATACAATTGAAATATATGTGTATATGATAATCGCACCAATTACCGTGTATTAAGCTCTTAATTGCCCGTTTTTTACTCCATTTTTTATTTATTTTAATTAAAAATACTATTTTCTTAAAATGAATTTCATTTCACAAAATCTCCGATCATTGTTTGCTCTTTCTCCTCGAAACGCTAGAAATCTATTTGGGTTTCGAACTCTACTTATCGTGGAGAGTTTTAAGGTAAAAAAGTTTGTTTTTGTATTAGTATCCACGTAATAATTGACTAGATCAATCATATTGTTTGACTCTAGAGTTATTTGTTCGCTCCGACCTCGACAAGTTTTCGGCATTAGAAAGTATATAGTCACGTTTTCATCAACACGTCACATAATGATATGAATCACTTTATATGTATATATACAGGATGTTTCGGAAATCGAGATACATGTGAAAGGAATGATTCTACAAAAAATATTTCGAAAACGTAAAATAAAATTTATTTATGTAAAGCTTTGTTGTCGAAAAAATATTCATCGACTTTAAATATTCATTAGGTCCTATATCGACTTAACAGATTTCGCTGTAAGATTACTATTTCTGTTCACGTTTGTGTCTATTGTATTAGGTAGATATTAGGTAGTAAAGAATATATAATAAAACAGATACTCATGCACGATTTTATTACTTTATAAACTGTTAAAAATGTTCGAAAACAAAGCTTTAGAAAAAATTTTTATTTTATGATTTAGATTTATTTTTTCATGTAGAATCACTCCTTTCTCGATTGTATCACGATTTCCGAAACACCCAATATACATGCTTATTTCTCGCACTTGCTGCGTCGATAAAGAGCATTAACCATACGGCGTTGCGTGCGTTAATCGTAATATTAATTACGTAATCGCGTTTACGACATGTGCACAGATATGAAGGAGTGGGTTTCCGGGTCATCCGAAAGCGATCCACGCAATCAGGTGTTTGCGTTGCATCATTCAACGATTCGTCTTGACTACTGTTGATTAATACATCACCGCATGCCTTTGTATACATGTCTCGTGAGAGATATGGGCACCTAGATAGATATCGGCATAAATTACAGCTCAGTACACTGGACACGCTACATAGAGTATCATGCTTAATGACCGTGTTATACTCTGTAACGTGTGATTGCTCCTTAATCGATCGAATAGAACAAACAGTAATACACCAATGTGAAATTATTATGTGTTACGTTTAAATTACAGGAAAAAGCAATCGCAAGAACCTGCTGTCAAGAAACGCATAATTGATATCTTAAAAGAAAAAACTCATGGATAATTTTTTGCACATTCTGTCAGGCGAGATTAAAAAATTCACAGATCAGACCTTGTTTATTACGATAATTTCGTATGCTTCCGGGTTTTTTTTTTTCAATATTTCCTACTGTAATTCCTAATATGCCAACATTTGTCGATATAATAATTCATCGTTGAAAGAAAAACGAATGTGACTGTACGTGAATTGAGTCACGTTTTACGACGCAATATAATTTACTAGCTTGTTAATATTTATAGTTCTTGTTTGTCAGTTTTTCTTGCAGTTATCGATATTGAAATCAACTCATCCATTATAAATATTCCGCCTGTCAAATTTATTAGCCGTGCTTCCGCTGATCGGAAAAGTTCCGGTGATCGATCGATTGCTGACGCAAACACATTTAGGATCGTTTCAACAAATACATTCAAGTAAACAGTAGGATAAACAGTTGTTCGTCATCATATTCATCATATTCATTCGCCAGTTGGTGCACGTATTATATTCGCAATTCAAAATGGCATTGGACACTTCTTGTGTGTCTGAAAGCCAATTAGTCAGTTCGAATTCTCAGTTCGAATCTCCCGCAATATTCCCACTTCCGTATACGTGTAAAAAATCCCTTCATACAACGTTCATTTGGTTTTCTTATATGTCCTGACATGTGAAAAAAAGAAAATTTCAAATGAGCTTGCAGCAACGAATTCATAATAAAATCTACGAAACCGTAAACTTCAACAGCTCGATACAGAAACTATTCAGTATTATGCAAATTAAATTGTGATTATGTATATGTGTATAAATAATATGGTGTCCCAAAATAGATGATAAATATTTTTAAAGATAGATTTTTTGCATTTTAAGATGAAAAGTTTCTAATACGGAAATGTCAAGGCTATGATCATTTTTAAGTGAGAATAGTTTAAATATTATGATAGGGATAGAATTTAGGACGTCCTATGTATGTGTGTGATGTGTGTGTGTGTGTGTGTGTGTGAGAATTTTTGCAGAGAAGCATAGATAACATAGATAGTATAGATAAAAGGTTTTTCTTGTTTTCCAAGAGAACCTTGCAATTCTCAACGTTTCTCATCGATAACAAGTTTACACAAATCGCATTATGTACTTTCACATATTGACTGTTTAGTCATCAAAGCATTACTAACATTTCAATGCATTATCTACGCATTATCAATATTTGAAGTATTGTGAAAAATATTTTCAGGAAATTGTCTCATCAATTTTACATTTATCAGTGATCAATATTATTCATGTAATACCTACTGAAATGAAATGATAATAAATACTAACCTAATCAATAGGTATCACTTAAATAACTACTGTTCAACTTTTGCAGTGCTACTATCGCACGCAGACTGAAAGTATGCAGTTATGACACGAGTCTACAATACAAATGCAAACACAATTTGTCCCACAATGATGTGGTCGACCTTGTAATGGGTCGCTAACCTGTGTGCACACACACAGTGCACGCACACAAACTGCGAAAGACTTTTCACTTTGGCGCCGACTTTCGCCGAGAAATATTGGAACGTCCCACACCGGACGTAACGCGTGAACGCAAGTGGGACACGTCACATTGCGCATCCTCCGTTATAACTGTCTCGCAAGGAGAAAAAAAATCCTGCTACGAGTGATAACAGAACACCGTGTATACCTGACGCAGCCGTTGCCTCAACTGAATGCGTTCACCTCGTCGCAACTCGAGGAATCGTTATCATTCGTAATCAGATTACAATTGAAAAACACCAGAGACGGTTGCACCAAATATATTAACATACGCTTTCTTTCAACAATCGTCGACATGGTCGATTTCACCGAGCGATACCCGACGTAAACAAGCGAAACGAAACGGGTTCGGATAAATGCGCTTACTGGGCTAAAATCATCGCCGCAAAATGATTAATCGACGGCTCAAGAGAGCGTGCCTGCGGCTGATCATTATTATTGTATGTTATTATGGAAAGGGTTTACCCAATGATAGAATACCGATCTCTGGTGCGTTGAAGTTAGCCATCAAAGTATGGTGTAACTGAATTTTGCGGAATTCCTATTCAAATAAATGTATAGAGCAGTCAAATATACATGAATTTATAATAAGGAAAAGAAACGAGAAAAGGTCTTCATCTGTAATATTATTTCTTGCGAAAATAAATATTAATTATTACTTCGTTTTGCAGAAATTATTTACTAGTACATTTAAACAGTCAAACATATATGTATGTTATATGCTTTACATAAATTAATGCATAATGTTCTCATTCCAATTCTTTTTGTATATTACAAAAGAATTGTTTTGCATCTTAACAATGTTTATTGTACACGGAAAGAACGATTTTGCTGAAGTAACTAAAATTTTAGTTAGACACAAGTCTGACAATAATTTTATTGGACCATCAAAATAATTATGTAGGACGCTAAAATATCAAAACTTTTCGTAGCATTACTCGAGATTTCTATATAATTATTTTAATAGTTCAACAAAATTATTTTCAGATCTGTATTTAGCTGAATTTATACTACTTTTTAAGCTACTTCAACAAATCATCCTTTCCATGTATTTTTCTGATGTGTATTTTTCTTCCAAATTTGCGAGTTTGGAATTGAGTTTATTTTCGGCGATTGCGGAAGCAATCCCATGAGGGAGTTTCCGCCTATTTTCTGTCAACATTGCGAACTGAATCGACCGGGCGGCGACACGTGGACTCGATTATATAGACGAAAGTACACATAACATAACCGAAAGACTCATTAAGGAATGGTTCTCGAATCGACCGATCTATTATTAAATGACGACCGACGTTCGTTACCGTCGTTACCGAGAGAGGCCGACTCGGCGGAAATAACAAATTACTCAATGTCAGTTAGTCGGCGTGGTAGATCGTGAGAGTAGTTCAAGCACTCGAGAAAATTTACTTGATACTTTTCGACAGGAACTCAATGATCGTATCGCTGGAGGATATTCCTTTTCCTTCTCAAGAGAGAAGGAGATCTTCAAGAAAAATTCATAGAAAAACATCAAAATAATTGATTCACGATTCATCGCATCGAACGTCCAAAAACATACTTCAACTCACATTATACTTTATTGACTATTTTATAAACATTCTTTGCGCAATCATTGCAAGAGAGATCCACGCAAAATGATTAATATTAATACCGACGATTAATCTAACATTCATCATTTCGCTTCGTAAACATCCTCTTGATGGCTTGTTCTCGAATCGATTATTTTTCTGATCCTGCGTTACATTAGCGAGTGTAAAAAAAAAACAGCGAACAATCATTTGCGATAAGTTTCATCTACAATTGACGACAGCCATTAACCGTTAAACGCTGGATATAATACGAGAGAAGTCGTTAAGTTGTTTTCAAC